AAAGCTATCTTCAAATAAAATAATTGAAAGTCTATGACAAAAGAAAGTACTTTTAATTCATTTTAAAATGGTGTCACAACAAAATTTTGGAAATTTTACAATTAAAAATTCATAGACGAAACTGGGCATTACTTGGTAAATGCACCCACACCCCAGTGACACAGCGGCATGTCTGGGGACTTACACCGCTAGAAATCAGGTTTCGATACCCGTGGTGGGCAGAGCACAGATAGCCCATTGTATAGCTCTGTGCTCAACTACAAACAAAACACTTCGTAACTTTTTACTAAGTACTTTCACTGTGAGAAAGTGAAAATATAAATATGTCAAAAGCACAGGTCCAGAAAAGTTTACGAAAAATAAGGGAGAGTCTTTAATACTTTTACACCTTCAGACGATAGATGATAAGTTAAAAAAAAGAACATAACAATTTCTACATCATCATTAGTCGCAAGAAGGCAAAGAAATATTAATGTCTAATTGGCTCAATAATATAATCACCGCAGGTCAATTTCTGGTCATGACCACCTTGCCACACCTCAGCTTGGGGTTTCAAGAAAATAAACAAACCAACAAAAAGTGACAGAATATTCATATGTAAATCGTAAAGATTTTTGTTTTACTTGAATTGCTAGTGGTCTGGAACAGTTTATAAAAACAGTGAGCCAGTCCCTGGTATCGAAAAGGCTTAGAAACGCTGTCCTAATATTAGTTAAACTCTAGTCATTTTTATATTAAGATACCAACACGAGGGTCTCCAAGCAGTTAAATATGTATGCATAACATATTTAACTATATAAAACAAATATACGTATGTTAGTCATGTTATATGTAATCTGATGGTTTTAACTAGGAAGTTAGAATCCTCTGCACTGGGTGAAGATAAACAAAACTTGCAAAAACAGTTAGAATTCAATATACGTAAGATATATATATTTGTTGATTATTATAATTGGTTGTTTATTGCAGATACTCGCTTGATCATTATTTGTGATCTGTATTTAAATATCGTTCTTTTGTGTAATTTTACAGACCATCTAGTCCACTGTGTGATTTAACTTTAAAGTGTTATAATGACAAAATTACTGTTTTTTTTCCATTTTTTGAATCTTTGCGTTGTTGAGTTTGAGATATTTAGTAATAAACTGCTGGCCATGCAGGCCACTGAATTAATTTAAGAAATGTGTAAAACTTATTGATATATTATTAGTAGTAATTTGTTGTTTTATCCTGATACTGAGTGGTAATAACTTAGTTGTTTCAAACCTTACAGTGATAACGTGGTTGTTTGACTCTTTACAGTAGGAATAAAAACAATAAAATAAGCTTAAGATTTTAGAACAGAAGTTTAAAAAAAAAGTTGCCATTAATAGGTGGTGTGCTAGATCAAAAAAGAAATTGAAAAAGTAGTTCACAAAATACACATAATGAAGATATTTATTGTTTTAGGCCAACAGTTTGAATAAGCAGGTTATGATGTGTAAGATTCAAACAATATTCCTCATTCTGAATAGTTGCTAGATGGAAACAAGATTGAATTTGAGTAAGATGATTACATTAATTCTGAGCTTACTAACAGAAAATTTGGAAGTTTAAAATGATAAAAACTCATGGCCGAATAATCTTTACCCTAGGGTTTTGATGGAGGTTAAAGACTGGATATGTGACTGTGAGCCACTTGCTACTATTTTTCTAACTTAAGTCCTTGAAAAGTGAGCAGGTGACAGAAGATTGGAAGTTAGCTTATTGTTACGTCTCAGTTTGTTAATTGATTTTCCGTAACTTCGTTCCGACGAAACTTTAGGGACACAAGTCCTTACTTAATAAAACTGGTTTATTCTTTCTGAATATAACTTTACCGATACACTTATTTTCAACAGTCGCTCTTTTACAAACGTTTTAACAACGAACGTTAACTTCAACAATAAATACTTCCTGACTGAAGTTCAATTACTCACTACCTACACACATTGTCGTCACGTTGTGAGCGTCTTATATATATATATATACCAGACAAACATATATCTAGTAAATGCTAGGGCATTCACGAAGGAACAAGATAGTTCTAGAAACGTGGCATGACACTAGTCACGTGACCTCGCTGACGCAACATTATGTTACTTTTCAAGGGAGATGTTAAAAATTGATCCAGTTATTATAGGTCTGTTAGCTTTATACCAGTGGTAAGAAAAGGCTTTGAAAGACTGATAAAAGATGCTTTACAAAGTCATTTAATTAACAAGTTTGAAATTTGGTTGGATAGTCAACATAGTTTCACTAAGAAAAAAATCTTATCTTATTAATCTTTTGACATTCTTTGAAGATGTTACTGCATATATATATAGGTGGGCGTTTAGGTGTGAATTTGGTGTATTCGAATTTTCAGAAAGAATTTGACAAGATGCCACATAAAATACCTGTTAAAGAAAGTTACCTGTAGATATGAGCGACAGGTTGGCTCATTTGGTAGAAAACTGGCTGAATGGGTTTATGTAAATTTAGTCAGTCCAGAGCTCAATTAGGACTTTTATTTCTTTTGACTTACACCAATGACACTGATGAAAAAATGGTCAATGAATTATTTAAATTAGCTGATACTAAAGTTTTTTTGTGCTGCTGGCTATGAGGATGCTGCTGCTGTTTTACAAAAGGATTTGGATTATTTGGTGAGTTAATAAAATAAATGGCTATTGGCTTATTATAATAACTGCTAGATAATACATGTGGGATATCAAATTTTTAAGTATGAATATAATTTTGATGGGAATAACCTTAACAGTGTTATGGAGAAAAGGATATTAGTGTTCTGGTTGATCAGTCTTTTAAGCCATCAAAATAATATACTGTTGCGTCAGCGAGGTCACGTGACTAGTTTCACGCCACGTATCTAGAACTATCTTGTTCCTTCGTGAATGCCCTAGCATTTACTAGATATATGTTAGTCTGGTATATATATAAGACGCTCACAACGTGACGGGACAACAATGTGTGTGTAGACAGTGAGTAATTGAGCTGCAGTCAGAGAGTATTATTGAAGTTGAGCACGTTCGTTGTTATAGCGTTTGTTTTAGCGCGATTGTTGATATTAAGTGTATCGTAAAGTTATATTCGGAAAGAATAAACCAGTTTTATTAAGTAAGGACTTGTGTCGCTAAAGTTTCGTCGGAACGAATTTACGGGAAATCAATTAACAAACGGAGACTAAAAAATTGGTGTCAGAAAGTGGGATAAAAAAAGAAGAAAAAAGAGAAGATGGAAACGAGAAGCGGCAAATCAAACTATAGTTTAGCAGATTTGATGGCAGCAATACAAGAAGAGAAAAAGAAACAAGAAGAGAGACAACAGCAGTTGCAAGAAAACCTGCAACAATGGCAGCTCGAACAACAAAAGAAACAAGAAGAAAGAGAAATTAAACAAGAAGAGAGATT